GAGAGAGAGAGAGAGAGAGAGAGAGAGAGAGAGAGTGAGAGAGAGTGAGAGAGAGAGAGAGAGAGGGGCACATTCCGAGCGGATCACGGATGCTTATAGAAACGTTGCGTAACGGCGTCAGGCGGACAGTGAAACTCCAACGGATTCGTTGTCTAGTTTCAACAATTTCGAAGAGAAACCTGGTAACATCGCGCGCGGTGTCCGGATTTTTCCATATACTAGAACGGTATCTTATGGTGATTAATACCATAGTGCCAGGAGTTCCGGAGTGCAGTGTGAATGGTGCTGAATGCGCGTCAAGTCCCGATTCCGTCGGTCCATGATCACGGGAGGCTGCAGCGACACGTGTATGTACATGTGCGTGTATGCGAGTGAGTGAGAGGTAGATCGACCAGGATGATAGTACGATGAGGTGGTCCGAGATGTTTCATTTTATGGTGATGATTTTAGAGGGAGGTCGAAGAGAGAGATGAGGATAGGAGAGGAAGGTTAGGAAATGCTCGAAAAGGAAGTTTTGCATCCGGCATATCGATTCGCGAAATTGAAGCTTGTCAAGGCCGCGACTCTCTCGGGCTCTCTCGAGTATTCGGCATCGGAAAAGAGAGAGAGAGAGAGAGAGAAAGAGAGAGAGAGAGAGAAAGAGAGAGCCGTGTAACGTTCCGCGTTCGAGATCGAGAGACGTAGATCCGCGCTCGTCACGTTCGCGCGCTCTCGCACGTTCGGTTCTTCGAAGTTGTACTAAAATTAAATCTGGGGCCCCGGCGCGAGACTCGCTGATTCTTTTCTCACGTCCGGCTTTTCTGACGCGGACTGCGTTGCGATGACAGGCACGCCTTGAGGATTCGAGCGCGGTCCGATGCGCGTGGGGGGATTCAAACCCAATCTTTCACTAGAACAACAGCTCCACCATCGTGTACCGTTCGTGTCCAGCCTCGTCTCGTAACGACGTCTCGTAACGATGATATATGTGCATTCGTTACGGTGGATCAACACTTGATTCTTCGATGCTATTGTAGAGATCTGGTGGAGGCGGACGTGAGAAGGCGACGGCGAGGGCGGCGAAGAAGATTACGACGACGTCGAAAGAAAAGGTGGCGGAAAATGAAGCAACGTTCAGGGCAAGGCAGATATTACTGATGTTACTGAGCAAGCACAAATACGACCACGACGACGATAACGATCACGACGAAGACGAAGACGAAGGTAACGAAGAGGAGTTGAAGAGTAGTAATAGGAGAAGAAGGCGGAAGAGGTGAACGAGGAAAACGAACGACAGTGCCTGCACGGTAACTGCAAGAGATGCAGCAACAACCGCACTCTGGCCAGCAACCGTCTGGGGCGCCGAATGGGGTGGCGGGGGGTGCCCAATTGCCACAAACAGGTGGCATAAGTCCGGCGCAACCTGGTGCGACTGGTACCGCCGCCAATCGCGCGCAAGTTAACGGGGGTAGATTCGACTTTGACGACGGTGGGACCTACTGCGGCGGCTGGGAAGATGGAAAAGCCCATGGCCATGGCGTGTGCACTGGGCCTAAGGGTCAAGGCGCCTATTCCGGCAGCTGGCACTTCGGCTTCGAAGTATCCGGCGTCTATACCTGGCCTAGGTGAGCGATCTATCGTTGATACCGATTATATTCGTTAGTTTTGCATGTGAAGCACTCCGTTAGGTTGCGGATAATACTTTATGTCTTATTGACGCTTGACATATTCCACGATGCGCATTTGTTAACTATGCAGTTTACGGCACACAAAATTATGAAGGATTACGATAAATTGCTAATTCCCGTGGTATACGTAATCCATGATGCTCGTCCGGTTGCGCGCATTTCGTAGAGCGAATGAATCTTATATTCTCTTCGCGTTGGTGCACTCTCAGGATTTTCATAACGACCGCCACTCCTCCGAGCTCATGAAGGATTAACGCTGAGCTCGTTTGCACTGTGACGAGTGTATGGTTTTCAGGCTGATTATCCGGTATTACCGCTACTGCTTGTTTCACGTTAATAATGTCGCTTAGCGGAGGGGGCAAACGACTACTAAACATTACACGCCGCAAAAGTAAGATCCGATCAGATGCTATTTATGAGGCTCGGATTCAGTTGTAGAAAATTCTCCGGCGAGATTCCCCGTGAATTCCTATTGAATGTTTCATTGATGATTTTCGCGAACCCCCCGGATTGAATTCACGAAACTCCTGGCGTCGCGTGTGGCGCGTGATGTACAAACAGCGAACCTTGACACGTATCTCAGTATATACCTGGGAGGGAATCTCCCGATTCCTGTAAAACTGGGTCACCGTGCGCAAGGACAACCGGAGCAGGTCACCGGGATTCGAATCGTTAGGAAACCTAGTTCAGGGTCGTGGAAAATCGCCGTCAAAATTTTCGGGACGGTCGCGAAATATTCGCGGACGGTAATAATCGATATCCGCATCCGTGCGCATTGAAGATGAAATTTTAATTTTTTTTCTTTTTTAATTTTTTTGGAGCAATTAATCAACAAGAACATTTGGAAGTTATTCAGTAAAGTTTCATTTCCCCCAATAGAGTATACGATCTTGATTTCGGTAAGAGAATGCAAGATATAAATGAGCTCAGATTCTTCGAATCCCAGCTTAAAATGTAACGTCGAAAATCGTTAAACGTTTCTCGCAAATGATGACGTCATCAGAGAAATATTTCAGGTCGTTTTCGTCCATAAAATTAAAAATGGCAGAACTAGTATTCTTGATCTGTCGATTGGATTTCGATTGAATCCTGCTTTTAGATTTCTCTGCTCGAAATTAATTGAAAAATAAAATTATTAATTATTTACATACGAACTCCGATTTATAATATAAACACTCTATAAAATGAGGTTAATTGCAGAGCCACCTTGTTTGTTTTTCGATTAGTTTTATGAGGGAATACATAACGAGAATACATAAACGAGGTGTAGGACAATTAAGAAAAAATTATATGGTATCTACATGCACGCGATACGAAAACCCGGAAAGACTTTAACGATCGTAATTAGGGTTTCTAGATCACGCACATAATGGAAATATTATTAAGTAAGAAGATATTATTAAATAATGGACATGTAATAACAGAAAATGCTGTGTAATGATTTCATTTATATTTGCAAAGGGTTATTAAATTGTGCTCGAGATTAAACGTGAACGTTTTAAACATATATGCATATTTAAGGTATATTATTTAATATACATATTGATATACAGTATTATTATACGGTATTATTAGCGATATAAATTTTAACTTGTTATTATATTACGTTATGATTTTTTCAAAATCATTTTCAGAAACTAAGATCTGCTTGAAAGTAAATTCATTTCTTCAAATCGATTTCTGGAATATTTCTGGAATTAACATAAAAAAGAGAGAAAATGAGGTAGAGACGAAATGATAACATTCTCTTTTCTTGCCGTCTCACGTATCTAGGCTGAGAGAAATTCGCCGTTTCATTTCCGCCATAAACTGGAGCAAGGTCCATCTTTAACTAGCAACATTTTCCGACGACTTCATTCTCGATCATGAATGATACTCGAAGATGAATCGTTTCGCAGATCGAGCACGTGTTGCTGACCACTATCGTTCGGGAGATAGTTCACCTCACATATCTAGAATTTCATTATCGTCGTTTATTTCCGTCATTCGCAACAAATAAAGAACGTGCATTGTTAAGAATCGCGAGAGATCGTCTTTATCATAATTATTTATTGCACATTTTGTTGTTAATTATATCAAAACATTTTAAGAGATGAAATGTTCTTTTTATTCATTCTTAAATGTTCTAAAAATATAATGCAAACATTATTTACAATTTATTTAACATTATTTACAATTACAGAATATGTACGAATTATTATTACAGTGTCAGAATTTATAATGTAATTAATCGTACCACGGTAGAAAGATATAAATTTTTATCACACGACAGAGCATCGTTAAACACAAGTATTTACGCAATACACGACACTTATAGAACATTTCCGCAACAGTTTTCGCATCCACGTGCAGCTTTCATGTTTATGTAATCATTATTCGCAAGGACTTGGATATCGCTCGGGTAGGATTAATCATTCTCTTTCAAGAGATTTACTATAGATATTCTTGAAACTTTCTTGTCGTTTTGCAAAAACTGTGACGATTAAAAGGAAATAATTAAATTATATTTGATGCTGGATTTAGAAAGATTTTCTGCGATAAAAAGTAATAACAGAAATAAGTTTAGCGCAAAAGCTTTAATCGCAGCTTGAAAGAACGTTCGCTCGATTAGCTCTCTCCGTCTCCCTTCTTCGATAATTATAACTTTCATAAAAATATCTTAAAAGAAGGATCGTAGGCGGCGTAATCACTTTCTACATTAGCACGAGGTGTCATGCCTCTCATTGCCACTCCATTCTGTATATCCAACAATGTGCAACGTTGTCATCGTCATCGACGACAGTCGGTAATTATTGGATTGGTTAATTAAACGAGTTTTCAGCTAACGTGAATGGCTAAAGATAGCATAAATAGCGATGTGATCCTTGAAGCGTAACTCTTAAGGATATTTTTGCGAGCGAACAACAGCTGAGAGCTGTGGAAGACGTGATGAAATTATCTTTATAATTTCAAAATACTTTTTAAGTCTCACTTGAAGGAAGAGAAGTTGTTTTAGAAAATTAAATTCCGCAAATTGCATTTTAGCGGGTCAGCCTACGAAGGACAATGGCAGAACGGCAAGAGACACGGCTTGGGTATGGAGACTCGTGGCCGTTGGCTTTACCGGGGAGAATGGACTCAGGGATTCAAAGGTCGTTACGGGGTCCGACAGTCTACTACCTCCACTGCGAGATACGAGGGCACGTGGTCCAGCGGTCTGCAGGACGGTTACGGTTCCGAGACTTACGCCGACAGTGGTAAGCCCCAAGTCTATTCGATATGTTTAATCAACCTGACTTTTTCCTATAAATCGGAATATAGGCCGTTTCTGAAAGTCTTATGAATTAAATGAACAAAGTGTGAGCTCTCTTTCACCTTAAAGTTGAAAACATATATTTTTTATATTTCCATTATATAAAAAATATTTCTGAATATAACTTGGATTTATAATTTTTTGATTTGTTAATATTTTTCTATTTCTAAAATAAATGGGATTTGCAAAATTGAAACAATTTCCAAAAGTGTACTGACTGATAAAAAAATCTTTGCGATACGTCTTTTATCTTTGCTTGTATTGATTTGTAATAACGATTAATACCGTGTGCATAAGTACCATATATTTATATTTGATTGTGCAATCGCACAAAATTCGACTTTATTGATTTCGCATTAAAATGTTAATAAATGGGCGATTTCATTCACGAATGAAATATTTTATTATTGGACGTTAAAAACGCGTTAGAAATCCTTCTAGCATGCTCCAGAGAACGGCTTATGAAGCAAGACATCATCAGTAAATAAATCACTGAGTTCTTTTAATAAAGCTCCGCGAGGCTGACTTGGGAACGCGGTAAATAAACAAAACAAGAAATGGATGTGGCAGAACGCGTCGTCGATTTCGCATTATTCTCGGCGAGATATTTAGTTGCGCCAAGATTGATGGTCACAATTGCGGTATGTCTACAAAAATTGATGCAGTATTTAGGAAGCAGTCTTCTTCTTTTTCGTCTTTCGAATTCCTTTACTTATAAAGATATCATTGTCGAGCAGAGTATTATAATGTGGAGTTTTATTTGTAAAACACTGTATTATATAAAATTGCATCTAAGAAATCATTTTTACGATGAACTAATCAATCCTGACAAGATATTTCATTTCTATTGTTGTAAATAGAGAGAAATATAATCGCAATGGATAATACCGTTAGATCAATACCGATTGCGAAAGGAATTTTTTTCCTTTGAGAAGAATGAGGATTGATGATACTACTATACGATTGCAATTTTCATGAAAATCACTGCAACCTTCGATAGAGTCTTACTTCTTCTAATCCTTATTACGACCTATTTACTTGCTTCTTTTTTTCTTCCTGGGGAGATTTATCTCTTGCATGTAGCTCCTCATTCTTGGATTTTACCCACTATTGCAAAATTCAATACATCTTAAATGTCATTAACCAACTCAGTCATTTCTCTGTTGAAATCTAATTTGTCAAATTCATTTAACTTGTCGCGAAATATCGTTAGAAGCAATTTTCTGCAGTCGCTTCAGTTACGAATAAACGATACGCCATTAAATGAAGTCGCACTCCGATATGAGAAAGTAGGACTATTGTTCAACCGATCGATCATCGCTGGTGAAACATTATAAAGTATTCATGTGCTATCTACCATAAGAGATCACAGTGTCGCACATTCGCGTAACATAAAATATTACCGTATATTAATTAAACATGATATTGCGTTTTCAGACCTGCCGTTTTTTCTTGCGAAATAAACTTAATTTCGTTATGATTGCGGCAGATGCTGCGTCTCAGCGTGTTATGAAAAGATTGCGAGTAAACCAAATGGAAAATCTTATCCAGTAACTCTTTGCGCAGAGTTTCGCCATTATTCATCTTATGGCAACAAAATATTTCAAAACTCGCACGTAAACTTGAAGACGATTCTCGCGATTCTTTTATATTTTTGGAAGAGACAATCGAGACTTAAATAAAATAATGGATAAATATTTAATTTTAATAACAGGGGGAAGACAGTGGATTATTTACGGATTTCAATCTCCTTCGGTACATTGAAAAAAGAGTCTGATTATATAGTCACTAACCGAGTTAAATATTTCAACCAAATGTTCCGGTAATATAATTAAACATAATTTTAACTTTACAAATATTTAGTAAGTATTACCGTTGGTAATAGCGTTTAGTAATATTTATCAGTGATCCGGACCGAATCAAAGTCGGAATCGAAAACTATTTTAGAATTCTTTTTTTTAGTGAATCGAAACCGAAACCATACCCAAATTTTGTAAAATTTCTAATACCAAAATCGTAACTGGTAAAATTTTATTTTTTAGTTTCTTTTCGGATTCTTTTTTTGATTTTTTTGTTTTTTTCTTTATTCTGCCCGTTCCTTCATCCAAATCACCAATGTTCAATCCAATATTACTATCGCCAACTCTCTTAACAACCAGAATGTAAATACCTCCAGCACATGATATAAGAAATTTGGTGGGATCGCGAGATATATTTAATATAAATTTGTTTAAGATACTAGCATTTCTTTTATTTAGATCTTCCTCATCAACATGTTGCAAGAATTTATTCTAAATCATGAAATTCAAAAATATATATGTAGACTTTGTATAATAAGTGAAATCTATCCATAAGAATCAAATAATAGTTGTAAAAAAGGACTGAAAGAAATATGCTTAAAATAATGTTTACGTAATTTTTATTCAGAGTCACGTGATCAGTTGACGCCTCTCTTCGATTAGGCTCTTTAGAACGAATGAATACGCTCTCTCTCTCTTTCTCTCTCTCTCTCTCTCTCTCTCTCTCTCTCTCTCTCTCTCTCTTTTTAATAGAATAAATTTAAAGAATAAATAAAATAAAGCGAGTAAATAGAATCGAAAAAAAACCGTAATTTTTACTTTTGGTTTTCTTTACTGGTAAAAAAAGAACTAAAACTGAAACCAGAACATTTATTTGATATTTTATTAAACCGGAACCGAATTGAAAAAACCTTTCAATTCGAGTCTCTGATATTTACTAAATATTTAACGTAAAATTATGTTTAGTTATATTATCTGAATATTTGATTAAAATTATTTCACTCAATATTTGGTAGCTATAACCAGACTCTTTTTTTTTGGAGTGATAAATTTATATCGAAAATAAATTATGCCGTGTTTGAGCGTTCGAATAGGCCTTATATTTTTTTGATGTATGAAAGAATCTCGCATTAATTATATAGAAAATTGGATCTCAAATGAAATGAGTTAGTTTTCGCATGTAACATAGTTTATAATATGACTAATAGTTTATAATGTGACACAAGCCTTAATGTATAGTTTTTAAGTTAAGTGTATCAAAAGTGCTCTGTGCATAAGCATAAGTTTTATATCTTTGATATTCATGAATAATAATGAATTTCATTAATAATGAAATTCATTATTAATATCTTTTGTTCGTTACGAAATGAATTAGTCTTCATATATAAGTTACATTTCGTAATTCATTTCGTTAGAATCCAATTTTCTATTACTGCGGGATCCTTTCATTAAAAAATACTACTTACAAAATAAATTCAACAAAATGCTGGGACACGACACAATTTATGTACATATTGTACGTTCATTATGCTGAAAGATATCAAACTCTGTGAAAGGTTTACTGTGTCCTCTTCTTGTAAGTAAAATAAATATAAAGACTTGCACACTATAAAAAATAGCAGTGTGAATTTAACACCATGCGTTATCTATATAATTCTTACCGTATTGATGTTAAATAACACCAGCATAGTGTGAATTTAACACCGTAGATTTTTAAATCTATACATCCATGATGTTAAATCCACACCATGTTAATGTTGATATAAATATCAGAGATTTTTAATCCTTACCATATCGATGTTAATTAAAGAATAAATATATATATAGACACTACTAGGTGTTAAATATACATTAAGGATATTAAATTGACACCGACATTTTTTAGAGTTTTTAGACATTTTACGCTTCATAGCGTAATATATATCTTTTGCCTGATGAATTTGTTCCGTAAATAGTGCTATCATAGTATCCCAATTGATCACCAAATCTGATCATCGAAATCTTTCCCGTGAGGCATCGGAATTCAGAAACTGGAAATGCTCTGACACGGCCACGTCACGTCGAACACGCGTGCGTATATTATGCGCGCACGAAAATAGCACATCCAATCGCTCGACGCGAATCACTCGACTCGATATTTATCAAGCACTACAGGTTACCCAATTGGATTTAATGCTTTACAGTTTAAATGTATCTTTAATGAATCACTGTAAGTCTTTCTCGCCTCTTCCTCTAGACCACAGTCAAATTTAACCCTTTTATCTGTCTCACATAAAAATATATCTCCAGATACATCTGTCTTCCAGAAAAATAAATTACTTACTTCCCCCTTATTATTCTCTTATAATTTTCTGAAGATGGATCAGCCTAGCACCTGAAAAAGTTTGCGGCATGATCGTTATATAGCGGCAGAGGTCTATATAAAGCGTCGAGAAACATCGGACAGAATGAAATACGATAAAACTCTTATCCGCCACTACCGGCCACGCTCACTCTTTCTCTTTCAAACGTTCTTCGTCTCTTCTCGCCTTTTGAACGAAGATAAGTGAAGTGCTGGGCGCTATTTCGACGCGAAATCGAACCAGCACGGCGGAGTCGCGGCGGAATCTCCTATCATGAATGGACCGGATGTCGAAACGTTTATCGCAAACGAACGCAGTTTATGTACACCGTACTGAAATGTGCATCATGCTTGGCCGGTAAACGTTTCCGAAAAAGAGTAAAAATAATTGAAAGATTTAATTAATTTAATTAATTTACAAAATAAAATTAATTAATTTTTTTAATATAATCTCTTTTTAAGGAAAAAGTGAACACCTTTTTATCAAATAATTATGTTAATTTACCCCATCCTGTGGGGAGTAAAATGATTCAGTATTTCAGATTAATCTTTTAAAAAAATACTATCAAATTACGTCAATTAACTCCCCCCTCCCATATTTTAATAAATTAAAATTAATTTATTAAAATATGGGAGTTTTAACGAATCGTTTTTATATCCAAATTTTTTAATGCAATACGATTAATTTATTGTCAAGCACATTATTCCATTGAATTTACTTTATTCGTTATTATATTACATCTGTTTTATTGAGGAAATCTTTAAGGATAAAATTACTCCCTTTGAAGATTTCTAAACATATGA